TTACCAGTCATCTTTAAAAAAAAAAAAAAAATGCAAAGGAGAAAGAGGGGTCCCTGAAATCCTATCACCTACAGCAGTGGTCTCCAAACTATTGCAATCCCATAGCCCATTAGTAAAACGAGTTTGCCCACATACCTCCAATAAATGTATATTTACTTATAAATTACAAATGAGTGCTACTCTGTAAAATTATGTGCCTTATAAAATGTGCACTCTCAAAAACAAAAATTTTGAAAGATGAGATATTAATAAATACATAAAAGAGTTCTAAAGCTTTTCTTCTGACACTCTGATAGATCATCTTATCTCCTTTCCCATGGGACATATACTCCACTTTCAAGACCATAAAGGTAAGACTGATAAACTTTGGTGCCTATTTCCCCCATTTCTTCTCAGTGCATATACTAGTGTACATATTTTATTTGTTCAGAAACATGAGAGTACACCATTCAAACTGTTCTGCAACTAGTTTTCTATAAATAACACCACATGTTGGACATCCTTCCTCTCAGTAAAGAGAGGTCAAGCTCATTATTACAGCTCCATATAATCCAGTAGTCGGAAACACATATCTTTAATCAGTCTCCCACTGATAAACTTAGCATGATTCCACTTTTCACAAAGACAAAGAACACTACAATGACCACCCTTGTATGTGTGCATATTTGTTTTTTACTAAACATGTGACTAAAGCTGCATGGTTAACAGTCTTCTCATGCCCAGTATCTTATTCAATTTGCCAAAATGCCCTAGTGAATAGGCAGTATAGAGAACCATCTTAAACTCTGCAGATGTGGAAATGAAGGTTCCAAGAGTTTGGGTGACCTAACACAAAGTAATAAAAGCCACCATTTACTCTATGTACTGTGCTAAGAACTTGACATAGATTACCTGATTTAATCTTCCTAGGAGATAGGGGATGACTATTATCCCCATTTCAGAGGGGAGGAAACTGAGATTTTGAGAATCCATTAACTTACTAAAGGGCAACCAAAGTAGTGGGTAGTGGAGCAAGGTCTGACTTTGAAGCCTGGGCATTTCTGCCTCCACTTGCTCATCAGGGCTGGGGTGGGACTTGAGCCCAGCACACTCAAGGCCCTTTTGAAATAAAGTGCCAGCTGTATCCTGGGATGGCCTTGACACCCTGCCCCAGAACCTCCTTTGGTCACATTTGCATAAGCAGGGAGAACATTATACCCAGGCCTAATAAAAAACTATTACAGCAATAAATTAAAAATTGAAGTCAAGTTTACAGAAAAATTCCCTAGTTCTTGAAATTTGTTCTCTCCTTTATGAGTCAATTTCTTTCCCACCACAATGTTAAATGTTTCTGATTTCTT